GATTGGAAGTCTTTGCTTTCTGAATATCTGCTTTGGTCTATACTGGTAACCATGAGTTGTTTGGCAGTTCTTTCTCCTTGTTTGTAGTTGAAATGGCATGTATGCTTCTTTGGACAATCAGTCTGTTCTTTGTCATTCTCCGGGCCGAAATCTTCCTAACATGGATGTCTTGACAGTGCATCTGCACTTTGGTGCTTTTTTCCAGGTCTGTGCTGAATCTCAAAATCATAGGCACCTAACGTGTCTATACAACCTGCCAGTTGGTCCTCGACATCTTTGAGATTGAAGAGCCATTGCAGCGATCCATGTTCTGCCCTCAAAGTGAATCTTCTTCCACTCAGATAATGTCTGAAGTATTTGACAAAGTAAACCACTGCTAACATCTCTTTCTAGGTGATACTATAGTATATTTCTTTTCAGCTTTTTGAAGAGTTCTGCCTGCATGCACTACCACTCTTTCATTGTCGTCAATATTCTTTGATAAAACAGCCCTTATTCCTATTTCCGAAGCATCTGTGTCCAGTATGAAAGGCTTTGATACATCTGGAAAGCAAGTATGAGCCACAGATATTATGTAAGATTGTAATTTTTGTTTAAATTAAATCTGTCATATAAATTTCATCAGAACTGTACTATAGTACTAAAACACATACTGTAGGCAAGCTTTAACATACACGGTTTGTCAAAATAAATGAAACCCATTACTATGATTATGACCTATTAATTTAATGAATCATTTATTTAATGAGTATATTACAAACAAGACAATATATTTGAGAAAATTACTAATTCTCATGTTGTTTTGTGAGTATTTATGGCTGACACATTTCTTTACTGTATTTATCCCTCAGATGGTAATGACATGACAAAATCCTTGTGCGTCCTGGAATATGACCTTTCAGGAGAGTGAGGGAGACAAGAACAATTGACATTTGGCATTTTTTTTGTTTGAGCTTTGATTTGCTACCCTGAGTATTTATATGTTAACTTAAGTCTTGAAACTCTCATGACTATTGCCAGTGTGTCTGTGCCATTGAGAACCATTGATCTCTGAAACTCTGGGTGGTCCCTGATTAATTGAGTTATGCTGAAGGCACACATGCCATTATGAGTAGTATATATTTCATTTTTTCTCTACTCTCATTCTCAGTATATACGTACTCGTAGTAGATTATAATATATACTGGTAATAGATTGGACTATATTTTATAGTAATTATGTACTAGTACAAAGCCCAGCACTTTGCCTCAGTGACGCCTGCAGTAAGTATATAAAATGAATAAGTAAATAAATCTGCTATTGATTGTATGTTTAGGCTTTTCTTTCCTTGCACGTACGTGAGACTGCATTGTATGAATGAAGCAAGGTAAAAAACCTGTCATTTGCAAGCCAAAGGTTAAGCACCTTCTTTAAAGAGTCTTTTATCAGAGTCACCATAATATTGGATCACCCAGAAATAAGAGAAAGCAGATATGATTATAAGTCACAATAAGGTGGCCGTTCTTGGTATTGTCATTGAAACGTCTTATAAGAAGAAGAATAATAGGGCTGTCTGTGGGGAAATCACATGAGACAAAGCAATCAAATGAGAGATGATCAAGCAGCAGGAAGATGTCAGTGAAGATAAAAGACTTAATCTGGGTTTGCATTCAGGAGTTTTCCCTAAAGAAATTAAAAGAAGACAGTTTGCTAAAATGTTAGAAGTGGATATTTGTAGGACGATGAATATGAATAAAAGGTAATTCTATGTCATCAAATATTTTTGATAGATCCTTGGGTGAAATAACTATTGTAGATATTTATCGCAGCCACTTGTACAACTGTACTGATACAAAATAACCATTTTCATTATCAAAATCATCTCACAGTTCTTTTAGTCTTTGTAAATTGATCCTTTAGGGAAAAATGATAAGGAAGAGTACATCATTTCTGCGCGGAAAGCATGTTTGAATTTCTCAGACAAGATATGATTGGCAGTTTTTAAAATTGTTTTAACGCTGTACAAAAATTGTACGAAATGGTAAAAACTTAATGCTTGTCCCAACTGAAAAAAAAAAAGGTTGATTAAAGAAAATGTGAAATATTAAAGAAAAACTTGCATAAATTTATGTTTGTTTATTTTTCACTTTATATGATCCTGATCAACTCACCTGTATATATACACATACATGTATGCATACAAGTGTACATAGACCTTGCATATTTTCCAACCCAAGAGATAGCAGGGATCAATGAAGAGAAACTTGATCAGGATCCATTTCACCACCATACATATGTAAAGGGTCCATGTACTAGTAGTCAAACAAAGAGACATACAGCTAAAACTGATGTCTAGAAAACAACCATGTCATGACAATGGTTCCATTAGTCAACTATGTATTTTATTAGTTCCATGAACCGTGAGTCATGATGATAATTCCATTAATTGACTAGATGTTACAGTAATTGATTAGTACCTTGAATCATTGGTATCTTTGGAGACTTTGCACAGAAATCAGACACCTGCATTGTTTTTAACTGTTTTTAAAGGACATGAGACAGACGCTCCATTGTGATTTGAAATGGTATTGATTATTTCACCCAAGGGTCTGTGTTTTCCTGTTGTGTAAAATGAAAAGTTAAAAAAGAAAATGTGATTAGTCTGATTACACCTAGAAAGCTATAATTAAAGATTGTGTACTAGTAGCCTTTGCACCTTGTGAGACAGATTAATGTCAGAGACAAGACAGAAATCATACCAAATAATTTATGTTTATCTGTCTTAATTACAAGGATGTATTTACTAGTACGTTGCATGGTCAGGCAAGTTTTATTTATTTATTTCATTTATTTATCCATTTAATACATATTTTTGTAAGAGATATGGCAGATGTCTATTCTTATTCAAGTTTGGTTTATCTAATTTCCTTCTTCAGTTGACAGTTCCTTTGTTCTTTCTACCTTTCTTAGATATTTTTTCTTTCTTGTCAAAGACACCTATGATATAATATTTTCATGATAATTTGATGAAAACATTACATGCTGGCTTTCCTGTGAACCCTACCCACCACTGGCCATTAGGGATTCGGCTTTGATAAAGATAAGCCCATATTTGATCAGCTTTCAGCCTCTTTTAATGTCCATGTGTTTTGATTTCATTAGTGTTTGCAATCAGAAAGGATTCCCAGACAAGTAAGAATATTTATTGGCTTTGTTCACCCAGCACGGATGGAGCAGAACTGAACCGATCAGAATGGCCATTGTTGTTGTCAATACTGATTGCAATCGCCCCTGTGTCTGCACAGCTGTGCAGCGATATTTAACCATTGCTTCTATAGATATATCAGAAACTTTAAAGATTAGGAAAATGCTGACTTAAGTACAGTTATCTCTCTGTTGCAAGTTTGCCTGATAAGTTTGATTTAGGTTCTGCCTGTCTTAGTTGAAAGTGACTTGTTCTGTGGATATTCTGACAGGTCATCAGATCATTTTCCACACAAATCTGATTTCCAGTGTTTATGGAAGCCTTATTAAATCAGAAGATTAGACGGGAGGCGATAAATATGGGTTATTGAATGATTTGCTTGAAAGCCCTTGGCTAGCTGAAACAGAAAGCTTAATGACACAGACAGACCTGAAATTCTGCCACGTTATTGCAAAATTTTAAGATTATTATTTCACAGTTTTTGGATAAAACGGTAGTGCAAATCAGACTAAATGTATAAACTCAATTTTTTAATTGAAGACATTTAAAAGTATAAAGTGTAGTAGTGAATTGTTATGCAGGATGTGGGATATAGAGATAGTTAACATTCCATTGCCATCACCAGTAAATAATTTTAAAATTGGAAACTACAAGAGGGGATTCAGAAAAGCTGACTAACAGATCCTAGGATCAAATATGGCCAACCCATTTGAATGCTTGTTGCCTAATCTCTGCAGGGAATCTATTCAGTGTCTAATTGGGAATTGAGTCTCCCCGGATCTGGTAGTCCTCTGTTTTGAATAAGCCCTAAGAAATGGAGGTAGCATCAAGTGCTCACCTACAGAACACCATTGAGCAAGAAGAGATTGTCGACAGATTTAGTTGCAAACAAGTCTAGATTAGATCTAGATGAGTGAAACCTTCACCAATATTAAAAAAAAAAAAAAAAAAAAAAATGACTGGTTTTTATGAATATTTATAGTAAGAAAGAGATTATGTTAAAAACTGTGCAGCTAGACTAGATTCAACATTATCATTTCCCCAGATTGGACATGGCATGTTTAAATTGGATTGCCTAGAGGTCTCCAGAGAGTAAAGTTAAGTAAACAATAACATTTTGATATCATAGTGATTTTATCTATAGTAATATTCTGGAAGCAAAGAAGCCAAAAAGCTGGCTAGTAAAGAAATTTCTAGCTGTATTTGTTTTGAGTTTATTGCCAAAAGGACTTTAAGTTACCTTAAAAGGAGCTGATTGAGAAGTTTCTTTGGAATTGGCTTTTTGATAGACTAATAGTTTCTTTTTAATTTTTTTTTTTTTTTTTTTTTTTGTATCCAAACTTTTCATCATGACAGTTTAAACTTAATTTTAATAAACACAATCAATTTAATTGTTAAAATGAAACGAAATCTGTTCACTTTAGTGTAGATTGAGCAGTAGATGGTTGAATTTCTAATATTCCTGTTGTGGTAGAAAATATGCAATAATCTATAGGCAAACTATTATCAAATATTACTAAAACTGCAAATAGTTCATGGACAAGAAAATGCAATTTTCATCTCCTTTTCATACAGATTAATTGGAATGATTAATAAAATACATTGCATCATTATTGAATTAAGCTAATGTCATTATCTTTAAATTGATTTATCATAATGTGTGTGCAAGTTGAATCATATTCAGTAAAATCAATGTTTGTGTACATGCAGTACAATATGCTTAAGTATAATATTGGGTAAACTTTACCCAAGGTTAATGACTGCATATATAAATATATCTATATTATGATAAAGCAGTTTTCCTTTTTACTTCCAGATGACTGGCACTGATGAAGTCACGCTGTGAAGCAACGAGTCTTAAGTGAACAATCACAATCAATTTGCACCAAATGGCAGACAATCCCAAGAACTAACAAGATATCATTCTGATAACTGTATAAGCAACAGAACTTGGTGTTTTCAGCTGTGCGGGGAAAATTTCCAACAGAAATACATTTATCTGGATAACTGCTGTCAGTGAGTTGACATTTCTTGTTTCTTGGCTGGACTTTGCTGCTGTGAGGAAGATGTTCACAGGATAATTTCTCCGGAGTTATAATTTTTAAATTGGTAACTTGTGTTTTCTGTAATTCACTATGTCTAAGAGGGAGGAAAATGAGGTATTGACAGCCTCAGATTCCACTGCGGAGGAGGAAGAGGATGAAGAAGACCATGATCCAAGCAGTACCACAAAACTTGTTCCAAAGCTCTCCAACACTGATGGTACTGCCAATGGAAAACATGAAAAGGAAAGGCCAACCTCGTTATCTAATGTAAAATATTCTGCTATTGAGAATGAGGAAAGTGGGGCCTAGCTCTAGTCCTATCACTGACACAACTAGTGATGCAAGTCCTACGAAAGAAAGAACACTTAGCAAGAGTCCAAGTCCAGATGTTGCTAAGAAACCAGAAAGGCAATCCTTACTAGCTAAAGAAGAAGTTTCTTTATTGCCAGATCATTTAAAAGATGATGTTGAGTAAGTGTGCCTGTTGTAATTATAATGCAGTAATAAAAAAATGCTGGCTTGGGTCACAGAAGGAATAACAAAAGTTGCAAGTAACTCATTTGTTTCATGGTTTGATTGTAAACTGAAAAATTCTGAATCAGTTTTGCGAAGTATAAGAATTTGACAGTTGTCATTGCACAGTCTGTTATTACATTCTCCACTGAAGGAGGTTGATCTCATCTGTAATGGTTAGTATGCTTCTGTTTATCAGTGGACAAGATATGTCTAACAGTTTTTGTACAAATGTTGATGAAATTTTCATGATAGTTTCATTTAATTTTATCATAATAATTATTTTATAATTTATTTATTTATTTTTGAAGGCATTTAGAGATGGGAGAAATCCCAATAGAGGAGGGTGTTGCCTATCACTCTCCCCCCAGGAGATATGCACGGGCCATGAAGACTTTTATACCCATAAGACCAAAGCAAAATAGGTGGGACTTCTCATTACATATTAATATCCCTTGTGCTAACTATGTTATATCCAACAGAAACTGCAAATATGAAAATGTTACAATAATAGTAGTGTGAAGATGGCCGTAGATTAATAAATAAATAAATATGTATTGATTTATGATTTAAACATTTAGCTTCTTATTATTTTGATTCAGATTGATAAGGACTCTTGATAGATAGTGTCAATACTAAAGTACTCAGATACTGAATAATAAGCATTGATTTTGTACTTTTTGAGGATGTTACTAAAATAAAAAAAAAAGATTGATGACAATTTCTCTGAAAATAATAATAAAAATAACAATTATAATTATAATAACAATAACTTCATTATATTTTAACACTTAAATTTAATTCACACTGTATGAAGTCCTTAATATTATCATTTATATATATATATATTCCAGCTCCAAATCAGTATTCCCTGGTGACAATGCTGGCCTCCTGTCCTTTGTCTCCTACAGCTGGATGACGAGGATCATGTGGAGACTGTATAAACAGGGGGAGATGCCAGAACAGATGTGGAGGTGTCCAGAACATTCCAACGCTGATATCAGCATGAGGAGGTAGTCAGAGGGGAGGGGGGGGGGGGTGATTCTCCAGATTGTGACTTGATAATAATAATAATGTTTAATTTTTGCTTATAATAGTTAAGCAAGTAGTGTTTATTACATCCATCTTTTCAAAATTCCATTCAGTCTGGAAAAATATTATAATGGTTATTTGAATATTACTGATTGTGTGTCCTTGTCAGTGACTTATTAGTCCCTGAAAATAGCCAGTCTGTGTTATTCGGGTTTTTACATATGATATTTTCTAATTCTGTTTCACTAGACTAGAGAAGTTATGGCAAGAAGAGTTGAAGAGGAAGGGACCAGAGAAAGCTTCAGTGGGCTGGGTGTTGTTCAGGTTCATTAAGACCAGGTTTATTGTGGCCACCATCATCTTCATCTTCATGTTGGGCTTCAGTTTCCTGGGGCCTGTAAGTACATTTTTATGGATTTTAACCCTCTGTATTCATTAGAAAAGGCATCAAAATAAAGTGAAAGTGATATACAGCACTGAGATAACTTTAAAAAAAAGAATATGAAAGGTTCTCTGTAGATGCCACCAGCTTACNGTAATACCATTTATTACATGTATATCTGCCAAAGCAGGAGGCATACACTATTTTCATCAGCATTGGTTTTTACGTAGTGGACAAAATGTCTCAAAACTATCCATGGATTATGATGGCATTTTCACATTGGACATTCAGGAGGAATGATTTAGTTTCATTTTTAACGAAACCTACTAAAATTTTGAATAATCCTGTCTAGTTTTATATTCATTTCCTATTAAATTTAAATTCATTTCAGATTCTAAGTAGATTAAAATCTTATTTCTACCACTTTTTAATCTGATGTCTACAGTTTAAAGTGCTCAATAATGAAGCAAATGGTGGTGCACTTCTTCTCTGGTAAGGACTTGATCATGCATGTTCTGTTCTGCGAGATTTGGACAGTTGTCAGAATAATGCTTGAAATACTTGTATTTCAGGCATACTTGGTGCGCTCTATTCTGGAGCATGCTCAGTTTGGGGGCAAGGATCTAGGTCACGGGTTTGCCCTAGTGGCAGGACTGTTCATCAGTGAACTGGGGCGCTCCATATCATTTGCTGTCATATGGGCCATCAACTACGAGTCAGGTAAGAAAATGTAGATGTAGTAGCCAGCAATTTCCAAGGAAATTACTATGAAATCGTTGTGTACCTAGATCAATTTTTTACCCAGATCAGACTTTTTCCTGACTGGCAGTTCCTTCAAAGCCTCCATACCCCTTTGGCTAGGGGACTGTAATTGTTGTGACATTTGCGTGTCTTGATTTTGCATCGGGTACTCCTGGGTATCTGACATATTCTTTTTCTTCAGGTATCAGGGTGCGAGGTGGGGCGTTATCTTTAATATTCAAGAAAATTCTCAGATTAAGAAGTCTCAAAGACAAGTCAGTAGGAGAGGTATGGCATTTGAATGACATCGATTTTATTGTCTGTTATATGTTACAGTCATCAATTTCTAAATTTGTACTAATATGTGTAAATATTGATATTTTCCTCAAATGGATTTGTTTGAGGTACACCAAATCTTTAGTTTTCAACCATGAAATAAGTCGGGCACAACACTCATTAACAAAGTATAAGCTACATCCATTAATCTTTTTTACTTTGTTTATTACTACTATTAATACTCAAAATGTAAATGTCTGATATTGGTTTTTCTTCCAGCTGGTAAATCTTTGTGCCAATGACGGACAGAGACTGTTTGATGCAACAATTCTAGGCGGACTTATTTTGGGTGGACCATTGATCGCCACTGCTGCCATAGTGTACTGTGTGCACCTGATAGGTCCCGCAGCACTAGTGGGACTTTCTGTGTTCATTCTGTTTTACCCATTCCAAGTAAGCTGTATTTGATTCTGTGTGTGTGTGTGTGTGTGTGTGTGTGTGTGTGTGAGACTGTGCTTGTGTGTGCATGTCTGTTTGTGTTAACATGTTTTTTTTGTATGTTTTTTTCAGTGTTTGAGTGTTGATGTGAGTGTGTGCATTTTTGTGTATATGTGTGAGCATGTGCGTGAGTGTTTGGGTTTGTGTGTGTGAATGTGTGTATGCATTTGGGCATTTATATATAATATGTTTGTGTGCACAAATAAAAAAAGAAAACTCCCCAGACATGCTAATTTTTTGTGTTTTTTTATTTTATTAAAAAAAAAAGAAAAAGAAGAAAAAAGAACACTCTCAAGACAATGCAAAAGCCTGTTTCATCGAATTCAATACTCATTCCAAGGTGTCTCAATGAAAGATATTGATCAATAGCCTTCATTGAAAAAGATTACGCTCATTATGTTGTCCAGGATGAAGTGACCCCATGGGACTTCATTATTTTATTTCACCAGATTCTGATACTGTTCCTTCGGTCTCCTAGGTGTTAGTGTCCAGACTTACTAGTCACTTCAGGCGGAAGTGTATCGTGATCACTGACAAGAGAGTGAGAATGATGAACGAGGTCCTCACCTGCGCCAAGCTCATTAAGATGTATGCTTGGGAAAAGTCATTTGCCAAGACAATATCAGGTTAGGGTGCAGTCCATTTTTGCACCTTATATCTTACAAATACGTACAGAGAGTATTAATGCATTTTATAACCTCAAGGGGATATATTAACAAGGGATGAAATATATATTTTTCAGAACAAGTTACACTAATTTGGCCAATTATCACATGCGATCCTGTCTCATAATGGGAAGTGAATTAAGTTTCTAAAAAGGGGACAGTGTACTTAAATGTGCACATAGACAAACTGAAAAACTGAATTTCACACTTTGGAAAATTACTTGTATGAAAGAAAATAAAGTGAAATTCAAAAGGTAGATGAATTTAATTTCAGGTATCCGTTCCGATGAGCGAAGTATATTGGAGAAGTCTGCTTATGTCCAGAGTGTTAGCATAGCTGCCACACCCCTAGTTCCCATCGTCGCTGCCGTCTTAACGTTCATTGTTCACGCTCAAACAGGAAATGACCTCACAGCTGCTCAAGTAAGTTGTGTCGAGATATGAAATCAGAAAGGAGAGAATGTATGGTTGTTTAGGAAGTAAAGTGGTGTGTTTTCTCCATTGTGTTTATACATATGATAGTTAATGTTTTCCAAATAATTGACGATATTTAAGACAGTTTGAACCATTAAAATTAATTGAAATTATTTGTAATAAGATGTTTGTCGTTTATTTAGATTGTTTAAAGTGTGAATAAGAAAATTGCAGATTGTTTGTAATTAACATAAAATAATGTATCACACTATTATTTTTATTGATATGTATAAATAATTGTCTTTGAATTTAGTTAGAAATTGTCAAAACTGAGCTGTCATGATCCCATGGCACCAGCACCATCTACTGGAGATGGCATGAGGTTTACCTCAGCATTGATCAAAGCCTCATTGTCTCCATTCAGATTTTATCCAGAATTATTCAGTTGTAGCTGACTTGTGTTATAATTATTGAACTGACACCTCTTTTTTTTATCAATACACATGTTTATGCATAATTGTCCATTAAGACTGTGGGGAAATTCAAGGGTATACTCCCTGTATTTGAGAGATTTGAGGATTGGAATTTAATATTCAATTTGTCTAAATAAGCCAAAGTCCAAATCCCTCTCTCATCACAGCAAATTTACAATTTTCAAGACTTTCATGTAATTCTTCTATATACGTATATATGCAAGATTCTTATAGACTAGTTATTCCATCCCTTTACTTGTTGGCATATTAACATCTGCTTCCATTTCAATTTTATCTTTGATTATTTTGAAGATCAAAATGTTTGATTTTTCATCTCAGGTGTACACTTTAGTCACTGTTTTATACTCTACGTGTTACTACATTGGTGCTTTCCCATATGCAGTCCGAGCACTGTCAGAGTTCAGAGTATCATGCGAACGTGTGAAGGTAATTCATGTGGTAGTTAACAAGGATTAAACAACTCTATCCATTTGTGAATGGATCTGGGCAGCAATCACATTTGTTAACCTCTAACTTTAGAACATTTCTTGTGAGGTGTATGTTTTTTTTTCCATAAATATTATTATTTTTTTATGTTTAAGTAGGTGTAATGTAAACTTTTTATTTGTAGTCAAATGATACCCTCTTTTAAATATATCTCTTAGTTATAGAAAAAAAAATGTTTGAGACTCTGGCACATGAACACAAGTAACTTGAACAAACTCACTCCAAACATCTTAACCTGCTTATTAATAAATGTCTATTTTATAAAAGCTACCAGATTATGGGTGTCACACTGCTGCTGCTACTTCTAATGCACTGACTTCTGTACAGAGACTAATGAAGAGACAGTGAAATGTTGAATAAAAAAAGAAGAAAAATAATTAAAAACCAGACAAACAATTGATAAGAAAAAAGGGAGAAGAAGAAGGAAACTTGAACAGTGGGGAAATAGAAACAAAGATAAAGAGAAAATGAGCCTCAATAGAAATATGAACAGTTTACTGGTCTCACATTATATGTATCTATCCATGCTGTATTATCAAAGGCTTATTCTTACATGTAACATGCCCACTGACTCAAATCTACATTTCTTTTTGTTTTTGTTTTTTTAAACTTTTTTTTTTTTAGTTTTTTTTCTCTTCTCTTAGTGGGGGTTATGTTTCCAATATAAGCAGCTAACCACCATAAAGCTTTCAGAAGATTTTATTAACAAAACCTGAATCTAGATGAAGTCTGTACATTGGTACATATTTTTGCTTTGTTCTCCCGCATTTTTTTGTGTGGAGCAACAATTTTACAATTTCTCCCCACTCAGGAAATATATTAACTACCAGTTTGTTAAAAATTGCATAACCTATTTTTCTTACATTTTTGTAGGAAAAGAAAAACTTTGAAAGAAAACCTTTATTCCTACTTTTTATTGAGTTTATTAAAAATTTTTTGTGTTTTTAAAAAGTCTCATGTCACTTAAATGTCACAAAATTTAATGTCATTTTTAATTCAAATACGAAATCTGAAATTTGAGTGGAAATATACATTAATTCCTGTGATTAACGATACTGTCTGAGAACTTTTGCAGTTACTTGAGTAATCCACTGTATGTTATTTACTGTCCACAAAAAGAAATTATATTGGAAACTCATCTATTGGAAACTCATCATACTTTTGCCATTTCCTGGAATTAATACACCTGTACTCATCACTAGAAACTCTTTTCTTGTTAACATACCCTTGCCATGAACAGTCTGTAATCTCTGTTTACAGAAGTTACTGGGAACTCGCCTCTGAAAAGCAGGGTGTTGAAACGAGCTGTAAGGAAATATGGAGATCATTTTTTATTTTCAGAAACACATGATGAAAAAATGGATACCACAAGCAAATGCACAAACAAAACACTGTTTCTTGGAAATTTCAATTATTCAGTATCCTACCTTCTTCTTTCCCTACCTAGGCCTACACAATAGTTAGCGTACTGAATTCAATGAGGTTTCAAATAGGCGTCCTTCCATATTCTGTGAAGGCTTTAGCTGATTGTTTCATCTCTTTGTCAAGAATAAAGGTAAAAAGAGTGTACAAATGGTGTGTGTATAGATCCAGTATGGCCTTCTATTCTTTTGCATGGCATATGTGTAAACCTTGGGCTATTTTTCTACTTAACTATTTACAAGCTTCACTATGTATTTTCCTTTTGCTGAGTTCATACTAATTGTAGTAAGAATTGAATTCTACTTATATCTTTTTCTTGTTTTTCATTTGCTTTTTTGCTGGTATTTCATGTATTTATTTGGTTATTCCGATAAATTAAGTGTTATGTATTTAGTTGCCAACCTATACATGGCATGTTAATTTTTTAGCTTTCCTAACTCAAGGCTTATCAATTTACTTGTAAGTATTACTGACAAAAAAAAAATAAAAATTCACCTTACATTTGCTAAAATGTCTTTTCACTGTTCGTAAGGATTTAATATGTTGCAAAATTATATATAAAATAGACATATATAAAATAGACGTAAAAGGTGCAAGTTAGCTTCCAGCGCACTTTTTGTTTTTCTCAACATTTCCAAATTGAAAAAAGAATTAGAGGCAGCACTACGTGTAAGATAAGTCTGCTTGTCAATTTTAATTTCAGGATTATCTGTTGAGTGTCTTACAAATATGAAATTTCTGAATATTTATACCATAGTTTAGTAAATGTTATGTATTAGAACACCAGTTTAGGTTTGCCTTCATCTTGACTCTATTCCTTGGCATATTGCTTGGATATTACAATGTGTCCATGCTGCATTACTTTCTATCTGCATCATAAGGCACAGCTCTTATGTAGTAAGATATAATATGATTAAGCTTGATTAGGAAAAAACTTAATTTAAGAGCATATCATTCTTAAAGGTACTGTATGGGCCACCCCTCTTGGATTTCAGCCTTCAGTGGAAGCTTGTCTCCATATTAATAATCAACCTTACCATTTCTAGGATGTGAGTGAAGGAAGATAGAGCGTGTGCATTGTGTTTTGTATGTTATGGTCAGGTAACTGTATCCAAATACACACACACATACAAACACACACACAAGACCTGTCACCAGCAAAGGGGGGAAGGTTGGGGCTCTTCTAAAAGTGGGGACCTTTTTACCCAGATGGTAGATCAAGTTTTGATGGAGAGTGGAGCTTTTCTTAACCAAAGGTTTAGTTTGTTTGACCCCCACCCCCTTTCCAATGAATCACCCCACTGCCCCTGAGTCACTTACTAACACATACATATACTAAAGGAAATGAGAGAGAGAGAGAGAGAGAGAGAGAGAGAGAGAGAGAGATTTGGATGGATGGATGGATAGATAACTGTAATAAACAGAAGATATATGTATATACCATTAGGCTTTCACTGCCTGGAGTCTCCTGGGTCCTCTAGCAAGCTAGCTGCTATTTGTTCCATATGCTGTCAAAGCTATGGCTGAGGGCAGAGTAACCATGAGAAGACTGAAGGTACACACTAATGGGGACACATACACTAGTAGAAATAACCTTTTCTTTCACTGTCAGATATTTGGCCAAATAGAATTAACATTTCTGAGGGTTAAGCTAATTAATTCTGTCTGAGTGGAGCAAAGCTTATCGGTGTGTGGTGACACTATAAACTATTAAAATAAAATGCCTCCTTTGTTTAAGTCAGGAGGTGGACATTTACAGTTGCATTTTGCATTTTCCTTGTAACCACTTTTTATGTACAGACACAGATGTGTCTGTACATATAGCCGTCATCTGCGTCTGTCGTCGCCGTCGTTGCCGTTGTCGCCGTGCACTTTTACCGATAACACGATAAGTGGAAAACTGTTTTTTCTTTTGGCTTGAAACTTACAGAACTGATGAATATTTATAATACGCAGGTCAAGTTCGAAAATCAGCATGATCGGGTCACTGATAGGGAATTTATGCTGTTTTTTCACTTTTTTCAGCATATATGCAGCACCGATAACACGATAAGTGGAAAACCATTTTACCTTTTGGCTTGAAACTTACAGAACTGATGAATAATTATAATACGCAGGTCAAGTTCGAAAATCAGCATGATCGGGTCACTGATAGGGAATTTATGCTGTTTTTATGTACAGACATAGATGTGTCTGTACATAAAGCCATCATCTGCGTCTGTCGTCGCCGTCGTCGCCGTGCACTTTTACCGATAACACGATAAGTGGAATACTGTTTTTTCTTTTGGCTTGAAACTTACAGAACTGATGAATATTCATAATACGCAGGTCAAGTTCGAAAATCAGCATGATCGGGTCACTTTTAGGGAATTTATGCTGTTTTTATGTACAGACACAGATGTGTCTGTACATATAGCCATCATCTGCGTCTGTCGTCGCCGTCGTCGCCGTCGTCGCCGTCGTNATTGTGATGTAATGATGTAATAAGCCACGTGATGTAGGTCAGAGGTCATGTGTGAAGCGTGAAGTGGGGATGCGACGTGGCATGTGAGACATGGACTTTTAATTCTGTAATAAATATTTTAATCTTTTATATAAATTGTTGTTACAATACCATATCTGGCGACGAGGATGGGATNAAAGGGTCAACTTTTGAATTATAAGAGAGTTGTGGGTCAGTTGATTTTTCCACCAAAGCAGGTGGATTTTATGCAACCCTATTGGATACAAGCAGCATGATATCATGGGCCAAAATCCTTATATGGCAAATTGACCTTGTTACTATGGGGAAGTGTGCCTTGATACCATTTTATTTCAAACAAGTATTTTACCCCAAAATAGTAATAAAGTTACCCCGAGTGTGTGTGTTTGAGGTGGTATCTGAATAGCACAACAATTCTGAAGGTAAATCTTGCTTTTTTTCGGTTAAACTGTATCCCTTTGGCATTTTGTTTTGGATATTAGATATTCACATATTGTTGGTTGAACAGGTCTAGGCCGTTGTTAGGTGACAGAGCAGTGTGTTTAAATGGCATTAGTGTTTCTTTGTTAACATGTATCGTAGTTGTCTGTGTTGATTATAAGAAAGTAATAACATATTTTGTTATGTACTGTTTTCCTTTTCAGTTATTGCCATATTGTTCAAGGTAAAGGTCTGTGCTGTAGGAGTTGTCTTTTGTTGTGAATTGTAAATATGTGTCACGATTTCAGGCCATGACAATGATTTCATTGGGTAACCTGCTTCGTCGTGTTTTAGTGGAAACAAGCATGGTGACAAATGCATTGTCTGCTGCATATCCTTGCCTTGGCCGAGTTAAGGTAACACAGGGCATATAATAAATACATCATGCCCACAGTATTACCAAACACGTCTATGCAGAATATGGGAAACTGTTTTTTTCTGATTTCTGTATATGTTGTAGCTTGAAGATTCTGCTTGACATTTCTGCCTTTGATTTCTAAGTCATATTTAATCAAGATTCTTGGTCATGGAAACTTAACCAAATAATGAATCATATCTGTAACCATGCAGTGATAGCTCACAGCTAAAAGTCCCATATAAATTACTGAGTTTGTAGATGCAACTCAAATTGATTGAAACCATGCGGAAAAAATGTTGACTGATTCGCAAATTGGTGTGATTGCTGTGAGACTCCCAGGTTTGATCCAAGGCTATTATTATTATTATTATTATTATTATTATTAGTATTATTATTATTTTAAATTAAGTGATTATAAGTTATAAGAGACAACAGGACCCTGTGTTCACAAGTAGAACAAGGGTCTAGTGTGTCACTGTATGTATATATAACCTCCCTCCTCTCCCACTTATGACATTTCTCCTATAATGTACTTATCATGAGGAAAACCATGAGTTTAAAAACCATATGAAGACTTGGCTTTGTTTCTTATGATAGGCACACATGTATACATATGTCTGCTTTATTGGCCTTTACTCATACATTACACACATGCATGCATGTGCATGCATGCACACATACACACACACACACACACACACACACACACACAGCAGACCTGTCACCAGCAAAGGGGGGTTCCTTTACTGAAAAGGCAGACCTTTTTACTATGAAACCTGACCTAGAACCCAAGTGGTAGAACAAGTTTTGATGAATAGTGGACCTTTTCCTGTCCAAAATAGTGTTTTGAGACTCCAGTCCCCTCCCACTACCCCCACTGCCCTTGAGTCACAAATCAATACATACATATATACAAAAGACTTGGAGAGAGAGAGAGAGAGAGAGAGAGAGAGAGCAGGCCTTATAAACAGATAAGTTGTTTTCTAGCCTTACCTGCAGATCATTTAGCACTATCTCCCTTATTAACCACAAAACCCATAGATTAACCAACACACCATAAAATTATTTAGCACCAACAAAGCCATACCTAGCACTAACATCTGCTCTGGTCATGTTGGTTGATTTGTGGGTTATGTTGTTAATATGGGTATTAGTGCTAAAAGATCTGCGGGTAGTGTTCATAAATGCCTAATCCTGGACCATTTATAAGGTCTAGAGAGAGAGATGGGCCACAGAGAGCTATATTCAACAGTAGATATTTGTATATATCATTAGAATTACACTGCCTGGAGTCTCCTGATGAAATTTATAGGTTTAGCAATTATTCAGGATAGAAAGAGGCATTTTTAATGTAAGCAGTATCTAGGTCTCCCAATATTATGAATCAAAACAATTTTTAACTGTTTTCCTTTTCAGTTATTGCCATATTGTCCTAGATAAAGGTCTGTGCTGAGGGAGCTGTCGCTTATTGTGAATTGTAAATGTGTCATGATTTCAGGCCATGACGATGATTTCATTGAGCAACCTGCTTCGCCGTGTTTTAAATCAAACAAGAACAGTAACCCATGCATATTCTGCTGCATATCCTTGCCTTGGCCGAATTAAGGTAACACAGGGCTTATATATCATCATGTACGCAGCATTACCCAGCATGCCAGTGTAGAAACGGGAAAACTGATTTTTCTTAGATTTGTATGCTGTAGCTTGAAGTTTCTGCCTTACATTTCTATTAAAATCACAATTCTTGATCATGAAAACTTGAGTGAATAATAAGTCATATCTGTTACCATGCAGTGATAGCTTATAGCTAAAT